ATGTGTTTTGGATCTTTAACAAGCTGACCAGAGCTGCGTCATCAGCAAATGGAATGAAATGTCTGTGCTTGCTTGGTTTGTTTTGAGATCAAAGGCACTGGTCATATATAAGAAATTATTCTGTAGAGTTTATTATTTATTAACTATTTAAAGTTTGTAATCAATGCCGGAAATAGGAAAAAAACAAATTTCTGCTTTCGAGCTTGTTGTAACAATATTTAATGTTGAAATAGTAGTGTGGGAGATATTCTACATGAGAGCAGTAGGTATATTTCCAGTACGCGTGATCTGATCATTCAGAGTGGAGAAATTATAGGGGCATGTCTTCATCGCAGGAGTTATGCTCTTGGCCCAAGTTACTAAATGGGTGAATTCTGAAACATGTCATTTTACTCTTCAGACCTTTTGAAATATTTCAATTTTCAATTCAATTCAAATTTATTAGTCATTATACTTACACAGGTGCATAGTATAGTGAAAAGTGTTTCTCAATAGTCAATCAGGTATATAAATAGAACAGAAGATAAGACATTAGACAGTAACACAATAACAATAACAGTGTAATAACATAACAATAACAGTGTAATAACATAACAACGAACAATTTAACGAACAAGCATACTTGTGTCCTGTATTGGGACACAAATGTCATTTTATTCTGCAAGTGTACTCCACAGACATGTTGTATATTTCATCCTTCTAGTGGGGGTTAACCTGAACACTACTATTAATGATTTGACCTTCTCTGTTGGCCACTGCAGAAAGATGCAAGTGAAGCCCACGTTGCTTATCAGGTGTGCTGGTTGGCCAGCACCTGTCCTTGTCAAACCCACTGACAAGTGCTTGTTTCAGTTCTAATTAGCGGCCATGAGCACAGCCTGACAGGACGACGACTGGAATACAAACAGATGTCCGGGTGAAGAATTGCAGCTGACCTCAGCGCTTACGAGATGTGTCTGCTGGTGAGCTGGTGATAAGTTCCTGGACACTGATCCCCTGTCACTCTGGCCATCAGTCTTCCCATAGCAGGGTAAGAGAACAGTAATGAAAGGGGACTGACAGGCCCCAGGAATATGCTTATTAAACTCTTATAATTATACCAGGCTGAGCCACTTGCTGGCATCTCGTCCAAGGTGTAGTCCTGCCTTGTCTCTCTGGTTCTTTCCAGACTGCCGAGAAACGGGGAGAGAACAGTGCTTCTGATAGATCTGGCTTATTCTTTCCTTGTCCAGGGGGCTCAAGGGTTCCCTGTGCCATTTCTTCTGTGGGGAATCCGCATGTGCTCGCAGTGTCCACGTGGTTCTTTTTTTTGGTTACTTCTGGTTTCCTCCCACAGTCCTAAGACATGCTTTTTAGGTGCTTTAGCACCTCTATGTGACCTGTGATGGAGTGGT